AAGATTAATTGCATTATATAAATATCTGTAGGGAGAGAATAAAATTTAAAAGCAAACTATAAAAGAGAAAAATTTAAAATAAATGACATATGTCTAATACTGTAAATGTATGAGGAGTTCTTACAAATAAATGAGAAAAATACCCATAGATCATAGAAGAAATACCAATAGCCCCAAATTTAGGAATGGTCTAGTTTTACTAGTAAAAGAAGGGTAAATAATGACATAGTATTTTCATTCATCAAATTGGCAACTATTTCTTAACAAGTTACCCAGAATATGGTACAAATTCTGTATGTAGCTCAGAAGTGGACAATTTGGCAGTATGCATCCACATTACACAGGTCCTTTGAAGCAGCATCTCTTTATAGGAATTCATCTGTAGGAAATAATAGACGATGTAAATAAAGATCCAGTTACAAAGAAGTTTACTACTGTGTTGTTTGTAATGGCACACTGTTAGAAGCAATCTAATTTTCCAACAATAAAGATGGTGAGATTCAGCATGTTTTTTTAATGTTTTATATGAAATATATCATTTCAAAATAATTTAAATAGAAAAAGAAAAAAGCCTCAGTTGAGTGCATAATAAATACTACTAAATATTGATTTATTTACTCTGTGCTTCGGTTTTCTGATTGAGAAATTGTGGATAATAATAGTGTCTACTCAGAGGGGTGTTGGAACAATTAAGTGAGTTCGTATGTGAAAAGCATGTAGAATAGTTCCTGGCATATAATAAATGCTAAATGATATTTGCTGTTATTCTCATTAATTCACAAAGTACCTCCTGTAATATGAGATAGTGTAGAAAATCGTAGTTCATTGTATATGCTTTATAGATAAGTTTATAAAAGGTAAATAGCTAATTTGGAAGAAGAAAATTGCCTGACTTTAAGAAATTGGCCTAGATTGAACGTAAGTGGCCAAAGGATTGCATTATTGAAATAAGTGCTCTAAATTTGTCTGGAGTTTTTGTCCCTACCATAACACATGCTCTATGTTGATCTGAAGCTGATTTTAGTATTAAACTGAGTCTTTTGTTTGTTTGTTTTGAACAGGTTGGCTCAAAGCTAATTTCTTGTCACAAGCTGGTATTGGCTTGTGTTATTCCCTACTTCAGAGCCATGTTTCTCTCTGAAATGGCTGAAGCCAAGCAAACGCTGATTGAGATCAGAGATTTTGATGGTGATGCAGTAGAAGATTTGGTAAAGTTTGTCTATTCTTCACGGCTCACTTTGACTGTTGACAACGTCCAACCTCTCTTATATGCAGCCTGTATTCTGCAGGTTGAACTGGTGGCTAGAGCTTGTTGTGAATACATGAAGTTACATTTTCATCCGTCCAATTGCCTGGCAGTAAGAGCCTTTGCAGAAAGTCACAATCGAATAGACTTAATGGACATGGCAGATCAGTATGCCTGTGAGCATTTTACCGAAGTAGTAGAGTGTGAAGACTTTGTAAGTGTGTCACCCCAGCATATCCATAAGCTTTTGTCCTCCAGTGATCTAAATATTGAAAATGAAAAGCAGGTCTATAGTGCTGCCATCAAGTGGCTTCTTGCCAATCCTCAGCATCATTCCAAGTGGCTGGATGAAACACTTGCACAGGTAGAGGCAGAAATAATATTACGTATAGAAATGAAATGTTGTGGAAGCAATCAGCAGTTTCCATTTATTATGAAAAGTGTAGATTACTTGAAGGAATATAGAAATCATTGGTAATACAATGATAAAAATGGCTTTAACTCTGTTACTTTCCTATTCAGTTGCTATACTGTTTAAGGATAAATCTGTCACATTTGAAATAGCAATATCATTCTCTGCTTTTTAACTTGAATATTTAAAAAATTCCTTTCAGATAGTAGTAATGAATATTTTATTTATGCTAATGGAAAATGGTTCTGAGGAAATAACTAAATTAGTATAATTCATAGCTATTATTTTATTTATTTATTTATTTATTTATTT